TTTAAGAAATCTTATTTGATCATGTTTTGATGTGCATGAATCTATTATACTAATACAAGACATTTGCTTTCTTTTTTTCTTTAAAAAGAAAAGATAAAACAGCATGCATAGCTAAAACTTAATCTTACTCTGTGATTCTTAAAATCTTAATGCATCATTATGTGTGTTAATGATATTGAAATGTGCTTTTGTTGTGATTATGACAAGCACAAAAGAATAAATTATAATGTAAATAAAGCAGTAGTTGTGATCGGCATTGGAGAAAAAAGCTTCCCAAATCCTTACCATCTAAGGAAGTTTTTATTTCTTAATTAATTACTCCAATATCACTTGTTAACTAAAACGATTAATTCAATGTGTGTGTGTGTTTTTTTTTAACAAATCCTATCTCAGAGGAAAGTAAAATAAAATTTTACTCTTAATAGTTTTTGAATCTGCAATACAGAAGGGAGAGATGTCAACTGAAAATTTTTAACCATAGACTCTAGAGATAGTTGAAGATTAATTTAATTTTATGATACCAAAAATAATGCACAATTGTTCATTCAGTGGTATGTTACCAATACTAACTTTTCTTTTATTAATTAATACATTAAATATTAGGTTTTGAAACATTTGTTGTTCCTTAATCATAAGGCCTCTTAAAAGGAGGGAACATATTGAAGTTTAAAACGATGAGTTGATTAGAAAATGTGGACCCACATCATATAACTATGAAGCAGAGAAAGGTGCTTTAAGCTTTCTTTGCCAAGCCAATGCAGGACAGATTCAGCTCTTTGCCGAGTGAAAGTACAGATTGCCTTCAACCTAATTGGTCAGCTTTGGGGAATCAAAACTTCTTTATTTTGAACTCTAACATTTACTAGATATTTATGATTTACACATCATTTCTTCTATATCCATAATCCTAATCAGATTGTAAAATAGTTTAAGAAATCTTGAATTGTTTCATTTTCTACAGTAAGTGCATATGCTCTGAACGGGTGGGCATGAGCCAATGAACATACTACAAATTGATTGAACTTGGAGAATCTTGATTCACTGTAGACCTAACCGAAAATATCCCTTATATTCGCAGCATTGAGTTAATTATATTACTCCATAAATTGTGATATATGGATTTTAAGAGTATATTCTTATGTATAGTGAACTTATGGTTAGAAAAAATGTTAATCCGCTATAAAAATAATAATAATTAACATATATTATTGTTGAATCGAACAAATGAAAATAAATAAATAATTAAAGTAGAGAAATGTACTTTTTACTCGTGTGTAGATATGGAATAAAGACATGAAATGGGTATTATGGAATCAATCGACCTAAACCTTACAAGTGGAAAACTCATTTTGGTTCAACATAATTCATTATCATGCGAATTTCACCTTTCTTTTTCTTTTCTTGTTTTGTTTATATCCCTTTCTCTTTTAATTTATAAATATGAATTATGGACATTATCTGGACATGTTGGCTCATAATTGCTTGCAATGTTTTTCGTTTCATGCCACCATGTTATGAGGAATATTAATTATGATAATCAGTTGTTATTATGGACATGAAATTAGATTAAAATAACACATTTTTTTAATTTAAACACCATATGTTTGCACCAACTCAAACACAAATATGGACTGCCAACCCGTCTCTTCTTTTCTTCTTTGATAGATCAACTCCTCTCTTCAAATAACATCAAAACCATAAAATCAATAGTATCTCTCATCCACATTTTTAAAGTTGAACATGATTCGAGCAGCTGAGTTTGCAGGGTGTGCGACAATTGAAAAAGAAAGTGTAACATGATTGTAACCCCTCCAACCGATACGGATAGCCCGATCCGATTTGGAGTGTCACATTAGGGCCACCGGAACGACCCACCGTAAAAATAGCAGAAAATTTAAAACTTTTCATAAAACTTGAAAACTCATAAAATCATTTATGAGTACACAATAAAAGTTATTAGTATTCGAAATAAAACAGACTTTCAGACTCGTATATAAAACAAAATACAATTACATGGCCCCTAATCACATGTACCATACTCTGCAAGTAACGCCGGAATAACTCCCTTACTGAAGTTGATAGTTGTACTGGTACAATTCTTTTAACCTGTAATGTTGAGTAATAGAGTGAGCTTCGGAAAGCTCAGTAATACAGAACTACCAGATGATGCTATAGGATATGCAAATAATTAGAAAACCATATAATTTCCTTATTGAATCAAACGTATACCAATTGCAGAATAATCTGGGGTTCCATTAGTAGTTCATCGAGTAAAAGCCATGAATCTCAGTTCATAAGAAACCTTTCATACAATCACGTTTTCATGAGGTCGAATATGATGTCTAGTGTGTTCCATCAATACGATAAAATCATAATAGGTACACTAATCAAATGATAATTTAGTAAAATCCCATAAACCGTACTGTAGTGGAGCTTTTTAATCTCATATTTTAAAACCATCTTACAAAGAGTTAACCTATAGGAACATCTTAGGGCCTGAGAGCCTACCCAATAAAGTTTGGGGCCACGGGGCCTACCTAAGAATACATCTTAGGGCCGCAGGGCCTACCCGAGAATGATCTCAGGGCCGCAGAGCCTACCTAAGAGTCACATTAGGTCCATAAAAATTTTCCAGCTTGATCAGAGTTGTACTTTACAAATCTGTATCTCCAAGATACAGTTTATACAAATGATAAATCAATCATAAGCCATCACCGTTAAGCCGGTGCATCCATAAAATAGTAACCATAGATTTCAGTGTACCACATGTTAAAACAATAAAACAATTTTTCAAAATATAAGGAATACACTAGATAATCCAAATAATTTTCAGATGCATTTTGTAGTTATCAGTATGGATAACATGAACTTGTGCAATTTGATCGGATTCTAGGAATAAGATCTTATTGAAGAGAATCGATTTTTAACCGATCTAATCAGACATTTCATATTGATACTTTAGAATTCCACTAAGTTTCCATGTGCATTAGGAAAACGTTCAGGAACCTTTATACATAATTCTAAATTCAGATTTACTACGAGTGATTTCATTACCCAAACAATCATGGGTATTCCGGAATATACTTTGAATTTATAGGATTTCAGCCCAATTGAACCAAATGAGGTATTCAGAATCTTTTCCTTTTGCGTTACTTGCGTTTTCAAACATGACCGAAGTGATTTTAGAAGAAAATATAGAATCGAATATTCAAGCCATTTACAATCTATGACTATCGATCGTATTATCAAATAACTCGAGTTACACAACTCCCAAACTAATGTATGTCAACAAGTCAATTCATTATCCTTCGAGTACATTCACTCTTTAATACCATAATGCATATCCATAGATCATCCCCATAATCATCGCTGAATAGATATTCTAACGGTCTTTATTTCATTTCCACGTTTCAACGATATCAGGAAATACAGACGTACTTGATCCATGGTTCATAACCCATAAAGACAATTTATCATGTAAGTTCAACAGTGTTTCCAAACTCATCCAATCACCTATTTAATCCTCAATCATTGAGGTTACTTAGTTCGTTTAGTAAGCAAGTCTATTCCGGTTACTTTAGAGTTTTCCAGAATAATTCAGACGTTTCTGAATCTCAAATACATGTTGTACTTCCTTTCAGTTCGATTTAGTCATATAATAAAGTCATTCTAATATTCGTGGTTGATTTGTCTCACGAATACCCACTTATTAGTACTGTATGCGCTCTAGAGTTGAGCTGGGCCAAGTACTTCCAGAATTATCATCAATCCAAATTTGAGAAGACGAACAAACATTCAAGTGGTACTTATATCATTCAGGTAATGATATAGTACTAGTTGGTTGATCACTTAAGCTGCATTCCATAACTTTAACTGGTAGCACAACATCCATGTTTATTTAGATTTCTTAATTAATCCAAGACATTTACTTAGTATAGGCCATAAGGGTATTTTGATCATTTTGGTGTTCAGTTTCATTCCAATCATTACAGAGCTCGAGGATATCCACTCATTCTTGAGCTTGGTGATATTCTTGGGTCATTTCCATTACAGGGGTATTCTGGTCATTCTACAGATCCGATGTATTTCAATCATTTTCATCATGTCTTATTATTTAATACCAATTTATCATCTATTTTAGTCCCTTCGAACAATTCTGATAAAAGAGCACCCCGATAAATTGTTCTTCAGGTATTTACTCGTAACTCAGATATTTCGGGTCAAGTGCCTTCTCAGATTTTTACCAACTCAATATCAAGAATTTTTCTGCACTAAGTCAGGATCTTAACAATCAAATTCGTACTTAATCGAGTTAAGTACAAATCCTCAAAGTACTTTCTCATTCAGGGTCAACTCAAACTATTTTTACCTCTCAAAGGCATTTTCGTAATTTCTTACCAGATAATTTCGATATTAGCTCTTAACGAAAATAATTATAATTTAAAGATCCTATGGTTAATTGCTTTCCCGAACATTCTCTGATCTTGAAATGATTCCTTAACAGACTTCTAGCATCTTGCTCAAACCCTCTTGGGGTTAAGAACCAGTTATCCGTATTTCCTAATCAAAACTAACATTTCTTATGCAGATCAGTAATTTTTACCAGATTAATATGTCTTTTCAGAGTTATTAACCAACTTCTAGGGACAATTCTTGTCATCTTACAATATAAGGGTATTTTCATAATTTTACTCTATCAGAATATTCTCATAATTTATCATCCAAGTACCTTTAATGAGATAAATCATAATTCACATATTCAGGACTGATTCCTTTATCACTCAATCATAGAACTTGTAATTCAATAGAGTCTTAACTAATTTATCACTTAAATCGTATTCGGTTCGAATCCATCCATAATCAAACAGACATAATAGATCAATCATATATATGTCCATGCATTTATCCATTATCAACATGTTCCATAAAGCATAAAGAGGTAGTAATGTTTTACCTCGAATTCTGTGACATACTGATCGACCATATAAATTCCATTCGAACGCCCTCGATCTTTAATTCAACTTCCAATAATTCCTCAAATACATAACAATATAAATTTCATAAAAAAATGGGGCTTAATTCCGAAAAACGAATCGAATCGGATGATAAATCAGTGAAAAAAATAGTTTACCGGATTCAAATTTGGCGAAACGGACTTCGGAATCGGACTCAGGACGTCAATAAAACCCAAACAATAACTCTTCAATTAAAGCTCGCCAACTCAATTTCTAGCTTCCAATCTTTTCCACAAGAACCCGAACCTTCAAATATACAAACCCATATATAAAATAAATTTCCTTGCCATAAAAATAAATTATTAAAAATCCTTTTTATAATAAAAGGACATAACTGGCAAAATTAAGAACTCAAAGGGTCAATTTAATACTTAGCTACCAAGGTTAGTGACCAAAATAATTTTATTCAAACTATTAGGCAACATTCATAACTATATAGAAATTGGAAGACAATGTCAGAATCTTACCAAAAATAGAGGACTTAAATTATGGTTTGCCCATCTCCAATTCCAAACACCACAAAACTACGTAGTTTTGATTATTCATTTTATGCTTTTGTTCTTCACGCATCACCATAAATTTCTTATAATTCATTCTTTCATTGAGCACTTTCCACCAAGTGCTCTGTAAATGGAACAAGAAGCTTTGCCGACAATAGCAAGACGCCTATGACCACCACGTCGGTCGCCGCCTTCAGTCATCGTTCAAGACCTAATTTTCATCGTTCGAAGCGCCTTGGTCTTCTCTCTATGAATATGTCCTCTGTTCATCGAGAAACCTCATGAATGGTCATAGATCTACCGAAAACCATTCGATTTTTCTTGAATTAAAATCATCTATATCATCGTCGGTCACCGTCTGATGAAGCTAGATTTTATTTATGTCATTCTCGCTGCCAAATGATACATCCCCACCGTTGAGATCTCCAAAAAGAAGTCCAAAACGCTGAAAATAAGAACATCCATCCCTCGCTAATATTCATATTTTATTTTGTTGCTCTTGGGTTGATATACTATGACTGCTAATATTTATTTTGCAAGTAATAAAATGTTGCACGAAATGGGTCTTACCCGATCGTCCATTGAAGTTGTTGGAATTCGCATCACCCATCGTTGACACTGCTGGAGCTCTTCATCACCGGGACAAAACACACTAGGGATAAACGTTTGGTTGAAGGGTTGTTGGGTTAACCTCAATGATGGTCGGGTTACTGTTTTGAAGAATCAATGAAGTTGGGTTCGATGTTCCTCCATCATAATCGACATTCTCGATTTTTAAAACCCAACTACCCGAAAATATCTCTGTGTTGCGTGGCCCTCATTATTTTTAATAAAATATAGTAATTATAACACAATTATTTTCCAATCAAACTTTATATCATTTCACATATTTTAAACAGAAAGAAATCTAATCTCATATTAGAGTGTGACAATGATTATATGATACATAATTCCCATCTATTTTCACAAAACCACATACCAAGTTGGTCTTTCAAGGGTCATTTCAAGTAAACTTTTCTCTTCTTTTATTTTCTTATTTAGAGACTCAACACAAGTTTGAATCACCGTAAGATCATTGATAGTTTTACCAAGGTTCAGTTTTGCTCGTATCAACTCTATTAAGATCAAATCGGGATGAAAGCAGGCAGCCGATTCAGATCTGTTGACAGTGTTCCTTGATAAAATACTAGAAATATTGATAGAGATTCTATAAAAAGTAAAATTATTAAACATAGTTCAATATATCAAGGGAATGAGAAAAAAAATTGCATTCTCGTTTTATTTAGAAAATAATATTAAAATTTTGAACTCCATTTCTAAATTTCTGGATCCATCACAGTCCTGTTCTAAAACTAACCCTTCCCAAATTTGAGTCCTTGCTTGAATCAGTGCAAAACCCGAAATTCTCGAAGGTGGACTTGGGTCTCACCTCCCGGATTCCGGGTGTATTTGGAATCCCTTCCATGGGGGGACTTGAGGGATTGCATATGCATCCAAATAAGCTTGAAGAATGAGAAAAATGTTAATGACAACTTCAGTGTTAAGTGTGTGCATATCTTAGCTTTAATATGAACACTGAGAAGAAAAGAAAAGCATGCATTATGAGAAATCAAGAATTATACGTGATTGTGGGATTAAAGAGAATCGTTTAAATTAGAACCAATCAGCACCATAACATTATAAAGCAAAGCAAGGGAATTAAGCTAAACAAATGAAACGACAAAGAGAAGAAGCAGGCGTGAAGATGTGGTTAGGGTTTGAGAGATTATAGAGAAGCAAAGTAAAAGGAGACTTTACTATTGGATCAATTTTTATTTCGTGTACAAGCCCAATACAAAGCAATATTTAAAGCCCAAGTACTTAACTAAAGATTAATAACCCAATTAACTCCAACTACTCCACTTACAACCCAAAATGATGAGTTGATACATAATTCACCCGAAATTTGTATCAACATGGATATTTACATCAATATGATTTTGAACGTGCATGAAACAATGATTTTCATTCATGGTGATAACATTTGTTTGTCGCTCCACACTATATGGACTTTCGTTGAGCAACTCCTAAGTCATTCACAATGCACCAACCAACTTATTTTAGAAACCATATTTGCAATGCTACAATACTCGCTTTAATGGTTGACTGGACACCGATTTGTGCTTGTTTGAGCTCCAAGAAATGAAATATTTCCCAGGTACACATAGCAACCTAAGATAAGTTGTACATCATCATTGTAATCCGACCATGCCTAAAAGTTACAACTGAAACACGAGACCATGAAGAACGGAGAAATGATTTACGAAAGTTAATAAATCATTTTTGAAAATATTTAACAAATAAAATATTAACAATAATTCATGTTACAGAGGTTAAAAATAAATATTTAATCTCATACAATATAAAACCAACACTGAACCTTGATAGTCAAACCAATCTTATATCTTGATAATCTTAAAAGAAAATACATAACAAGAGTGAGCTATAAAACTTAATGTGTCCACTAAGTGAAAATAAATATTAATATTAAAATACATATAATTTTAGATATTGTCCACGTGAGTATTGATACTCCCTCAAGAGTATTAATACTCATAGTGATCTAACTATATTTTTATATTTATATAGACAATATTAATACATTTCCTAAAGTATTGATACCATTAAGATCTCGACAGTATTTAATATAGAAAATTGATTTCCAACGATTCAATAACTACCACGTCAACTCTAACAATTACAAATCAATAAAAGACTAAATAAACATCTTATAGCATATTTGAAGACAAGAGATAAAAAAAAATAAATCCTTTGCAATCATTCTTGAGCTAAAAGTCATCATTTGTAGTACAATTTCTTGCTTTCATATAACACTAGCTTATTCATCTTTTGTATTTATTTTTCTAGTGTTTTTGAGTTTGTTCGAGTTTGAATTGTGCAAATAATTTTCTTGTGAGAGATATTTCATAGTTTGCTATTTGTATGTTTAAACCTTAAAGGAGTTGTAAGCTTACACCTTATCCTCAAATGTAGAACAAATGATGAACTAAGGAAAATCTTTAGTGTGGATAGGTAAGACAGTGGATTTAAATTCCATTGAGGAAGTTGAACACTCGAAATCATTTGTGTCAACTAATTTAGTTAATCGTTTCTTTCTTATAATTTTTTATACAAACATAGTCTCTATTTTATTAAAAATAGAAATATTCAAAATTACAAAGAAGTTAAACACTAAATACATAATTAGAATATTTTTATAATCATAGATACAATAAATTAGCCACTCGAAATTATTTAAGGATTATAAGGAAAAAGTTAAAACTCATCCAAGAAACTCGAACAAAAGACAAATCGAATAAATTTTACTGATCGGCAAATGAACCACAACATGAATTAAACTATGAAATATCATCGACAATTGTAAATCAAAAATTGAGCGTCGTGAGAAACTATCTACGACACAAATCGTGTATCCAAGCCCAATTCGAGGTCCAAAGTAGATAATAACTTAATAATAAAAACATCTTGATCAGTTGAGACGAAATCAATACATCCCTAAAAAGATCAAACAACTGAAACCATGCAATGAAGTAGAAGAAATCGTATCATAAAAGTAGAGAAAATGTACTATAAAAATCAGAATTATTAAAAAATTAAAAAATTAAAATAAAACTAAAATTGTATATAGAAAATAAATAAGAAACAGAGATAGACGGTCGACTATTAACACTAAGACTGATGTCATCGAATGAAATAAAATAAAAAAAACGACAACTCTATGGAGAAAAGAAAAGACGCTAGGAATATTATTATTAGAATGATGCATATTTATAAATAATTAAATATATATAATTTTATTTTCTTTAAATTTTTTACTTGATATGACAAGTCGTTATACATTATAAATGTCATGTTTTCACGACAAATTAATGAATAGAAATAAGACAAATCAGCCCACCAACTCTTCAAGTCTCGTTCCATTTTCAGGGTTGAGTCTCGGCTGTGTTTGTCTCTCCAGTTTCATGTGTTTCAAACTTTGGTGGTAGGGCAATCAAAACTTATCCCATAATTTAGACCTGATATGAATATCATACGATGCCATATATATAATGTTATATATAATTAATTATTATAAAATTATTAAACCCTATATTTTCTTTAAATTTTTTACTTGATATGACAAGTCGTTATACATTATAAATGTCATGTTTTTCACGACAAATTAATTGAATAGAAATAAGACAAATCAGCCCACCAACTCTTCAAGTCTCGTTCCATTTTCAGGGTTGAGTCTCGGCTGTGTTTGTCTCTCCAGTTTCATGTGTTTCAAACTTTGGTGGTAGGGCAATCAATAACTTATCCCATAATTTAGACCTGATATGAATATCATACGATGCATATATATAATGTTATACATATAATTAATTATTATAAAATTATTAAACCTATAATACTTTAATATTATATTATTAACCGATAAAGTGATCAACAACAATAGAGAGGGATAAATAGATGATTCTAGGGTATGGTCTAGTTTGTGTTGAAGAAGTGTGCATGCCCTTCTACTCTCTACTAGATGGGTATTTATAATATCTTGAATAGATGTCAGTTAAGAGTTTTCGTGTCATTGATACTGATTAGACGTCTTAAAGAGTAATGGCTTAGAGTAGGAGACCACGTATGTCAACACGTGACCACTAGTGATGTTACGAGGATATGCTCGCGATGATAATAGTGATCGACACGTGGTATTTGCAGGGTGTTCTCCACTTGTTTGAGAGTTTACATGAATCTTACATTTTTCCATGAAGATTCACGAGTACACTTATATAGAAATTCGTGAAGCTGGAGGTTTGTAAATAGTAACAAATAACTCAATTAAATTTATCAAAAAATATATATAAATGAAAAGTATAAATAGTGGTTATGTTAATTAAATTTAAAAAAGTTGTTTTAATATGGTTTCACGATGGCTGAATCGTGGAAGTACAAGAGGACTTGATATCAACACCAAGTCAATAATCATCTTTTATCGATTTTTTTAATTAAAGATATATACTTTTTTAGAAGAGATGATTAAAAATTAATATTTATTTAAAATTCAATCAATCAATTGATAATGAACATACATCTTATAGACGTATTGCTCGAATTTGATATCTCTAAGAATAATAATATTTTCTTTTATCATTGAATTCGTATGATAAATCCAAAAGTATACCATTTTTCTATTGTATTTGAATGAGCTTATTAATTTAGAAGTTAACCATTTTGTGAAGCAATCTATCTTTACCACAAAGAAGCAGCTTTTGATTAGATGATGGACCACCCAAGCTCTCTATTAGGCTTTACTAACCGTAACCAAATGTCCCCGCTGCTCAACTGTTTTTCCTCGTTCAGATTACAATGGACGGTCCACGTAATCTGCCTCAGCGATGCTCCAGATTCTTCCATAAAAATTTATCAGCATTTAATAGCTACCCTAATAAATTTCCCCTCCTCGGTCCATCCACAAACATGTTCTTGTCGTTTTTACACGTAAGTTTACTTGAATTTAGGAATAGTTAAACTAATAGAGAATAATAATCATTAATTTAACCACTTAAGTAATTTGATTTGTGCATAAATGATAATAATTTTAACCTCATTTAAATCCATACAAGCATATTGAATGTCCATTTTTGCCATCCCAGTTACCAATGCTAGGTTTTCTCCAAATCAATTGAAATGAACCGAATCATCCCATCAAGTCCTTGCTTAAAA